TCTGATTTGCAACGCAATGCATAGAGTAGCTACACTAAAAGGAAATTCAGTACTTGGAGAGAAAAAAAATATGAAAAATCAGAAGAAAGACTTATCAACGGAAAATGAGGTTCCATTACTACACCAAACAGACTGTCTGAATACACTTTGATTTTTGGCCCAAATCAAAACCAGAATAATTTCATCTAACAAAGTGTACATACTGTAGTAGTATTTCATTTAAAAATTGCATTTTATTTATTGCCTTTTTTAAAAGGCAGATGTGATCCAGAAGTAGAGATGTACTTTTTCACTAATATTAAAATCAGCAAAAAATACAGCAGTTAAATATCCCTTTTATTTATTCTCTGAAAACTTGTGCAGAGCCAAAGCTGAATTATTGAATTTTCTCATTGCAAAAATAGTCTTTGCATAAAATAATGAGAACAGCATTTGAATCTCTAAATCACAAGCCTATTTCCAATTGTTGATGATGAAAAGAAGTACAGGCTTTTAAGAGACCTGTTTTTTAATGAACAGCTTGGTACATGGTGTACTACTTCTTTTAAAAAAAAAAGAGAAAAAAAAAAGACTGGTTCTAATCTCGTATGCACTATTGTAATGTTTTGAATCTAGTTGTGCTAGGTTATTTAGGGGCACAAAGTAAATGTGAAGTGCTTTGTTTTCTCTTGAACCTCCAAGTGATTACTGCATTCTGTCTATTGTGAGTGGCAGTTCTAATGGCCATGTACGCTGTAATAGTATAAGGGATCATTAGAAAATGCAAGAAACAAGCACATAACTTAAGTAAGATCAGTGTATGAATCAACTTCAAATTTAAAGAGAGTTTTAACGTAGGCTTCGCTAAGCCATTAAAATTCATTTTGAGTCCTCCCTCCGTGCCTCCTATTGATTTGACTTTGCTAACACAAAAAGAAGTGGTCAATTTAAAAAAAAAAACCAACAAAAAAACCCCCCAAAACCCCACCAAAACTAAAAAAAACCCCTGTGTTTCACTTCTCAGCTCCTCCTCTCTCCTCTCTCTGCAGGACTTAGTGTTTTAATGCCCTTGGACTGCCCCACAGTTACCACTTACGCTCTTGTTACCACTGCTGTAGTCACGTCCAGGTGAATAGTTGCTGTACCTGAACACAAGAAATCTTATTTTGGGTGAATAGTGAGTCCAAAGTTTATTAGAAACATTTAACTTGTGGCACATGCGATATATGTCTGTGTATCAGCAGCAAATACAGCATGTCCCATTTATTGCTTTAAATTTGCTCTCTGTGGAAGTCTAGATCAACTGAGACCTTTGGAACTTGACCAACCCTTTTGCAAGCCATAAATACCTTATTCACAAAGTTAGATAGGGGTCCTATTAGTGCTTCATAAATAACGAAAACAAAGAGATGAGAAAAACAGTTGAAGTCAGTTGTTAGTGGTTGTACTAGTCTGTAGTGTAAGTGGGTCAATATGAGCAGTCTTAGTGAAATCCTTTGAAACAAAAGAAATTATTAAATCAGTTACTATTTAGGTCAATTACTCAAAATAAGCCATTCATAGAGTGCCCTTGAGACAGGCAGGTTAAAGAGCATCAGGAATTTTAAACTCAAATTGAATCTCACCATTATTCTTGCTTAACCAAAGCTATCACATTTTACCTTCCCAGAGATACATTACATAAAGATTTGACTATCTAACAGGGAAGGTATTTAGCATTAAATTGAAACTGTATTTCATCTGTTTAAGATAAGTATGAGAAAAATGTGAAACAAGTTTACTAGGAGTGTGTTACAACTTCATTTCGTTGTATTTTAAGCCATGTATGGTGATCCTGTTATCTTCAATTTTAAGAGTGGTTTGTTGACAGTTCTATGGAACTGCTTTTTGCCTGACTTGTTCATAGAAATCCCCAAAGCAGAGATGAGGATGAGAGAGGAATCTAAGAGAACAGTTTGTTGCATTTAGGTAGATGTATTTAGTCTCAGATGCTTGGGATTTGTCCTCAAGTAATAGAAAAATCAGAGAAAAAAAAAAAAAAAGTACTGTAATAAATATGAACATGTCATTGAATAAAAACCCCAATAAAAATGTTTCTCAAATTATCTATAATATTTTAAGCATCTCTTAAAATTTAGTAAAGTTCAAGAAATTTTTAATAGTACAGTATTATAAAGTTATTCACCAAATTATTATGACGTCTGATTCTTGTAACAAGATTTTCCTTAAGAAAGGTCAAAGTAAAGCTGTTGGGACATTTTTTTTGTCATATTTCTGCATTTATTTTGTTGTGTTAACCTGTTGGACTTGTCATGGTAACTACGGTGCAGGTGTTGTTCCTTGTGTTCTGCACATGAGGGTGACTGAGGAATATTTCTTGGCATTATCAGCAGTAGAGCATTGTCTTACAATTTCCTTTGACTTTTGTATTTGTAGGCTAATTGCACAAAACTCTACAAAAGAATGTTTATTGAGGGAATAATTTTTTTAAAATCCTGTCTTCCTGAGAAGATGCTTTAGTAAGCTAAAATCATGGAAATACTCTGAAATTCTCTCTCAGTCATAGTAAATCCTTCTTTCAACTATAGTAACAAGGAATTAAATGTTCTTTCAGAAACAACAGACATCAGGCCAGACAGCTTAAATTTTAGCAGTCGTAAAAAAAAAAAGCTGTTTGGTTTTTTTGAACTGATAGACAATACCTTCTTGTGCAATATAAGCCTTTGTATTGAACAGTGGCGTGAAGACATCCAGAGAGTAATTGGCAGGTTTTGCTCCACACTGTACTGTATTCGTCTGGTTTTGTTTTTTATAATTGTGATATATTGATATCTGAATTTGGTGAGATAATATTGAACTGGGATCAAAGAGACAGGCATTGTTAACCTAAATGATTATATATCTCCTCAAACTTAAAGCAAGTGTTTGTGCCACCAGTGTTAACATGCTTTACAGTTAATGTATTTCACAGTTTAATAAATAGTACAGGACAAAAGAGTTGAACTGAATAATTCTGATAGAGAAGTCAGCTTAGTTCAGAGAGGTGAGAAACGGGAGTGTAGATTGAGTCTTCCTTTCTCTTTTATCCAACATTCTAAAACTAACCCTCCCTGTTTTAAGTGCTGAATGTTTTCTGATTTGTTTTTGGTGTTTCTCTGTGTGTTGTTTTGTGGTGTTGTCCCTCGTCTGTCCGTTCCATTCCCCCCCGCCCCCCGAAATGTACCATCCTAGTTAAAAATAAGAGAAAAAGGAGGGAAAAGTAAGCATGTTTACACTTTTTATTGCTCACAGATTGCAGAGTACCTGTGGGCGGCTTAAAGCAGCTGCTTCTCCTGCTTACCTAACTTTCTTCTTTAAAATATAGAAAGAAAAAAAAAAAGTACAAGTCTAAATGTCAGCGTCTAAATGAAGCCAAGAAATCTTTTCTCAAGTTCACTAGCTCCTCTGGCCAAGTACATTTATTCTGTTTTAGGGACACCATCTATTCCAGACAAAAAGCAATGATTTAGCCAATATTTATGCCAGTGTTATGACCTCCTCCCCTATGAGTGCAAACAGCTACAACAGTGAAGGACATGACTGCCTCCTGGGTTTTTGATCATCTTCCACTGGAGTTCATTACCTTGGTGGCAGAGGTGGCAGAAGGAATTGTACTGTTGAAGTGCTTTGGTAGTTGAAGACCCTGGCCTGGGCCTGGGTGTAGCTGGCATGCAGGACCTGCTCCCGTTCTGCTGGGTGGGCTTTCGAGTAGGCACCTGAACTGAGAGGGGACAATGGGAAAGAAAATATCTTCAACTGTCCCAGCTAAATTTGCCAAAACCATTTCTTTACCTCCTTAGCCATGTATAGAAAAGCAGAGATTTTGTTCCGAGTTTTGCTTGTTAGCAAGTTTGGGTGGGGTTTTGTGTGGGAAGATTTCACTTCCAGCAAAAAGTTTTGTTCAGAGGATTTCTCAGGACTAGTACAGACTTGGGCATAGGATGCCATGAGAGAAAGACATACATACAAACACTGACTTGAAGTAATTAGTACCCCAGTGGCTAGGGTGCTCATGCTTAGTGTATTTCTTGCTTTCTACAGTATCTTTAATTTTGCTGTTTATACATGCTAACTGCACATACATTAAAGTAAGTATGCCACAGTAAGGGTGTCCTAATTAAGTAGACTCTAAGAATCTATCTCTTTCTGGTCCAGTGAGCAAGAAGATATTTACAGAATTTTTAAGAGCTCCAACTGCTGAGATGGATAAACTGGTCATCTTGAGGGACTGTGAAGAAGGACATCTAGTCATGTTCTGTGGCGCACAAGAGCAGCCAATTCCCAAAGCGTGTTCAGAGAATCATAAAAATGCAGAAACATTGAGGCTGGAAAGGAGCTCTAGAGATACCTGGTCCAACCTTTTGTTGAGAACAGGGCCTTGGATTGTGTTACCCAGGGGCAATAAAATCAGTTGCTGCTGCTTGTGAACACATTGTTAAAGGCTAATGTACACCTTTGTAATGCATTTATGCTGAATAGGTATAATCTCCTCTATGCAACCTTCCTGTATGCTTCATTCTTAACTTCAAGCTCTCCTGCAGGAAGAACAGAAATAATTAAAGCTGGTTTGAGTCTGCTTTTCTTTGTACTCTTGCATAACAGGAACAAATGTTGTTCTGTTAGTTCTGTGTTATCAGTGCTCATTCAAAAATCAAAAGATAACTGGTTTTGTTCTAACATTGTTTTTTAAACTCTTCAGTGAGATGATTTAGATAGAATGCAATTCTCTTACAGCATTTGATTTTCTTCTCCCCACCCATTCACGTCAATTATTTCAATTTCTAAGGATGCATCATGTGGTTCTTCTCTTTCTTCTCAATCTGTGCTGCGTTGTTCTTCAAGCATAAGCCAGGGAAAGTAGAATAAAACAAAATGAAGTAGCAACATTGCTCACCATTTTTTTACCCTTTCCTGTTTTTAGGTGACGGTGATTGACCCCATAAGAGTGGCTTTTCTAAAAACATCCTACCTAACGCAGAATAATGGATATAAAAGATAGAAGACACCGTTCTCTGACGAGGGGCCGGTGTGGAAAGGAATGTCGCTATACGAGTTCTTCACTGGACAGTGAAGACTGCAGAGTACCAACTCAGAAGTCTTACAGCTCAAGTGAGACACTGAAGGCATATGATCATGACACCAGGATGCATTATGGAAATCGAGTTTCTGACCTGGTTCACAGGGAGTCCGATGAGTTTCCAAGACAAGGTATGTTTAAAGTCAGAACTGGTTTCTTTTACAGTAATCCTTGGTACACAGTCTCTGTTCCTTATTAAAGTATACAAGTATTATAAGGAGTTTTAATAAAGAACTGTAGGAGAATGGATGCCATTTTACCATTATTTCAACTCTTTTGTGTTAAATTAAGAAGTTCTTTCTCTCCCCAAATTTCTGATACTGTTGGAATTCACTATTTGTAAATGAGGCAAACCAGGATCTACTATTCAGAATATCTGATAAACACAAATGCCACTGACCCTTAACCAGATGTTGCGTTTGTCATGGATCTCAGGGCTGGCCAGTACGCTAACTTTGTATTCTATTTCCTAGGTTCATTTTAGAAGTAATAACGGCATTTTCACCTAAACTTGTCTCTTTAAAAGAGTGCCTGTACTGAAAAGATAACTAAAACACTGTTATGGTAAAACTACATATGGCCAACGTATACTCATTATTAATCAGATGTCTCAGAATTCCTTTCCTGTCCTTAATTCCTGTGCAGTTGAAATGTGGGAATGGGAATGCTGTTTCCTCTGACTTCATTTTGTCACTGCTTACCCTTACTGCTTACTCTTTACCTCATAAAAACTGGAAGGAGGAAACCCATCTAATTGGTTTTATAATTGGCTATAATACATTACCGCAGCATCAAGATCCTAGAACTAATATTTGAAATAATCTGCCTGTGTGAATTTGTAAGCAAGGGGAAGTAATCTCTTCTTTTATAAAATGTTCCTCACTTTAAATACTTGTTATGTCCAATAAGTTAATGAATTAACAATCTAAATGTTTTTAGTTGGAAAAAACTGTGATTATGTCTTTGCACTGTACACACACATATTTTTACTCATTCAGGTATTTACTTGCTTCAGTAAATCATAAGTCTGTGTGTTGAAACCGTTAGTGAATACTGCTTCATAGGAACAGCATTTAATCATCTGGTTAACTTGACCAAATAGCCTGATGTCAATCAGTCAACAATTAGATATGGTTTTTAAAATAAATTATTTGGTTTAGTTTCAGTTGAAGAATCAGATATGGTTTATATAAAGTAAGATATAGGCAGTTTTGAGGCATAAATGTATAGCCCTTTGTGCCTCTCTTAATGGAAGGTAAATTATCTAGTACATCTTTTGTTGAATTGCTGAAACTCTAATATTTTATATATGTGCTTGTTAATGGCATATGATATTTCTCTACTACACATTTCTACTGTCGTGACTCAGGAAATTCTAAGTTATGACACTTCTCTGTGGAGATCATTCAATGAAAGGCCATTTTTTATACTTGATATCATGTCATGCAACCTGTTTAAAGCATTCTGCCAGCCGTCAGTGTCTGTCTTCACCTTTAAATCAAAATATCTATTAATTAGCATCTCTAATTAAACCCTTGTCTAATCCCTTCTTTCTCTCACATTTGTGTACAGACATTTGGAAGTGTTTGTGTTGTGCTTTGTCTATCAAACACCCAGTTCTATTTTGTGAGGTAATCTCTGTTCTTGTAGGGTCTTTCTTTGCTTACAGGTATTTACCTAGAGAGAATGCATCAAGCTGCAACTAGATCATACAAGCTACTGGAGCCATTTTCACTGTGGTTTGTTCAGCCTTTGTGTACAGGAGTCATCTAAATATTACTTTTCCCTATCTGGATGATTGATGCTTCAGCTCAAGTGCCTCATTTTAGTTTCCAGGTTATTATTCGGCATTTTGTGAGGGTGTTCTTTTTCTCTTGATTACTGATTTGACAACTGTTCATCTTCCTCCTGCTCTTAATGTGTTCTTATCTGCCCTCTTTATGAAGGGGAGTGCAAATTGTTGGTAACTGAATTGAAATGCTCCGAAGATTTTATTTATTTATTTATTTATTTTTATTAGTTTCACCCTGCTAGTCTGTGTTGTTATGTCTAGATGAATAAAGTTGGGTTTTTTTTTTTTAGAGAGGCAAAGTAAGTTTTTTGTTAAATAATATGAGCAGTAACTCCTCTGCTGACATGAAATTTGAGATATTGTGGCAAGTAGATCTAGATTAAGACTTAGTACATGTTCTCACTTTCTACATTAATATAAAAATGTGGTTTGTCTAGTAGGAAATACTATGCTATTCATTACATCTTATGCATGCAGTTTCCAGCTGCAGACATTGAGGAATTTATACATGTAAATTTATTCTAAATTTGAGTGGGTGTTTTGATGGGATTAAATTCTGTAGGAAATAAACATGCTTAAAATAAATAGTCTTTAGAGAATTTTTTATTCTTCTATTACAAAAAAGCTTGACATGTTTTTTAAGCAATTGTAGATATTTTCCTCAATATTTTGTCTCTTCTGCGAGTAATGCTATATGCATTTGACTTCTTGAAAAGTATCTGGTTTAACCATGGCACTGGAACTGCTCAAAGCAGTTGTTTTGAGCTGCTGCCTGATCATACGTCAAACAATTTTGAAAAATCTGTTAAGCGTAAGACCAAATTGTACTACTTCCATTTCTGCATATGACTGTTCTACAGTGGAATGCTAATAATAAAAACTACATTCAGAGCTCAGAATTCTGAAACAGATCTTCTTGGTTAGCTTTAGTATTTTATTGTCCTTTTGTTCTGATTTGTTTGTCTCATTCTTCATGAAAAAGCAGATCTATGAAGTATAAATACTTCTCTAAGCTAATGTGAATAAGCATTAGATAGGAAAATTGAATGTTGGTGGAAGTTTAGCTCTGAGAATACAACTCAAAAACTTTGTCATCGTTTGCCTGTTTTGAAATAAGCTTTTTGTGCTAATAGTTGACATACGTGTCTACTGAAGAAAGTTCCACTTTATCGTAGATGCTACTTTCTGGTGTGGTATTTGGAATTTTGGTATAAAGGCATGAAGGATGACATGAGTGCATATTACCTGAAGCACCGTAGTCTGGCATTACTTCTACTGTGCTCTTCCTAAGATGTTTGCCTGTAATTTTTCTAAGTAATGAAATTTCCCTTCTAAAGTCTGTTTTTAATATATCAGTAATAACATTTGTACGAAGTAATTCAGAATAGGTTTAGTATTTTTGTGTTAAGCTTATTTTCTGATCATGTTCAAAACAGGTGTTCAGATTCTTGGCTAAAATGACAGGTCCCACGCATGCTTGAGCTATTCACACACAGACACACACACAGAGTGGCAGGGGTTGGAAGGCACCTCCGGAGATCACCCCGTCCAACCCCCCTGCTAAAGCAGGGTAACCCAGAGCGGGTTGCACAGGACATCGTCCAGGTGGGTTTTGAGTATCTCCAGAGAAGGAGACTCCACAACCCTGCTGGGCAGCCTGTTTTAGTACTCCGTCACCCTCAAAGTGAAGAAGTTCTTTCTCATATTCAACTGAAACCTCTTATGTTTCAGTTTGTGCCCATTGCCCCTCGTCCTGTCGCTGGGCACCATTGAGAAGAGTCTGGCTCTGTCCTCGTGATTTAAGCTATTTGAAAGTATTTATGAGATCCCCTCTCAGTCTTCTCTTCTTCAGGCTGAACAAGCCCAACTCCCTCAGCCTTTCCTCATAGGGGAGATGCTTCAATCCCCTTCTCATATTCGTTAGCCCTCCTCTGGACTCTCTCCAGGAGTTCCTCGTCTTTCTTGAACCGGGGAGCCCAGAGCTGGACACAGTACTCCAGGTGGGGTCTCACCAGGGCAGAGTAGAGGGGGAGGAGAACCTCCCTCGCCCTGCTGGCCACACTCCTCTTAATGCACCCCAGGATACCATTGGCCTTCTTGACAACAAGGGCACACTGCTGGCTCACGTTCAGCTTGTCGTCCACCAGGACTCCCAGGTGCCTCTCAGGAGAGCTGCTTTCCAGCAGGTCAGCCCCCAGCCTGTACTGGTGCATGAGGTTCAACCTCCCCAGGCAGCACAGCCTTCTGGCGTATCAGCCACTCCTCCCAGTTTTGTGTCATCATCAGTATTAATTTGTCTTAGGTCTTCCCTGATATAGTTAGAAATGTATTTGTAATTCAATACCTGCACTGGATGTTCATTAATCAATCGATCTGAACAGCACAGTCCTTCAGTGGATCTGAGGGAGCACTCAAACATTACAGGTTTTATTTAAAGTTGAGGAATCCTTTTTAAATGCTGCATTTTAAGATTAATAGAAACTTTTCTACTTTCTGCTAGGATATGTCAAAAGCTTGACAATATTTCTGACACCTGTGAATATTTGGAATATTTTACAGTCTTCTGGTGCTAAATTTCTCTAAATTCCATGTATTTTTTCCACCAAAAATCCCCAGTTATGAGATACAAACTGTATCGTTTTTTTAAAAAAAATGACGCTACCTTCTTTCCGACTTCATCTCCTGACTCAGCATGGTGAAGGTAGATGTCATTCAGGGCAAAAATTGAGGATTTTGGATAATGTGCCTTTAAAGAACTTGCTTTGAAAGGCAACTTTTCTTCAAGTATACTTTGTAACCAAATTGTGCTTGAAAGAAAACTATACTGAGTTTTTAAGAGTTTTGAACTGGGTTTCAAAGGGGTGATTGCAAACCTTACTATTCCAGAGTTCCTCACTTGGCATTCATAGCTCATAGATTTTGTGTTCCTGCCTGAGCCAAACTCCAGGCTTCAGCTGATGCAAAGTTTATTAGCCAATCATTGTACTGAATTGACTGCTTTCTCATTTTCAGGTCAGATCTAGTTTAGCAGTAAATCTCTGCTGTGAAATGGTAGAACAACTAGAGAGTATGATTAAAGTTATTAAAAAGAAATCTAAAAAATACACAATCATATTAAACTGGACCCAAAAGTCTTCTGAAATACTTTTAATTTTATTATCACAAATGAATTGCTTTGTATATGCCACTATCTTTTTTGGATGGCGAGATAATTTCAGAAAAGAACAACAGCCAATACCTTTCTGTGTATCAGCTCAAATTCCATTTTTTTATTCTTAAAAATGTGTGCTTTTTGTAATCTGTTTAATGCTATAAGTATGTTAATGGGAATTAGAAAAA